GCCAAGCGATGAAGGCTTCGAAGGCCATGTCCTTGCTCGGAAGATTGAGGTGCCAAACGTAACGTGTAGCAGCATCGATGAACGTGATGGTGTAGTTGTATGCTCCTTGTCCAGGTTCGCGATTGTATAGGATGTCACTGTACACTTTCTCAAGTGGTGTGTAAACTGGTGCGCTTGGGTTGTGGTGAGAAGCGAATGGTCGATGTGGTAAGTCAGCTTCGGGGCAGGTAAAGCATGTTCCACGCGCTCGTCGAAGTTCACTTCCGTCGGTTAGAAGCAGTGAATCTTTGTCAAGTACTCCTGCTCAGATTGTATTGTTTAACACCGTGTTGCTTGGGTGTCCCATTCGTGCGTGCCAAATATCTTCGCTGGCGCGATGTCCGGGTGAGCGACGATACAGGTCGGAGTTGGAGTAAAAGGCAGCGGTGAAGTTGGCGCTTCTGTGTACTTCTCGTGTTTTTGGGTGAAGCTGTTGCGCGGGAGTCGGTGGAGTGTCGTCGATTTGAGGTGATGCAGTTGAAGGACCAGCGATTGGTGTTAATGGTGCTGCTGCTTCTACCGTTGTTTCTGCTGCTACCGATGTTGTTTCTGCTGCTGCCGATGTTGTTTCTGCTGCTGCCGATGTTGTTTCTGCTGCTGCCGATGTTGTTTCTGCTGCTGCCGAGTGTTTAATCGTTGCTAATGTTCTTGTTCGTTCTGCTTCAGGGATGGTGTGCGAGTACCAGAAGCCTTCTGGACTGAAGTCAGGGTCAAGATCTGGAGGGTGTGTCCAGGAGGTGAAGGTAACGATCCCGTCGCTGTCAGCGGTGCCAAGATGTGGGACGAAGTCGAGGACGAAGACGTTGTTTTTTAGGATCGCCTTCCCAATGTAGAGACCGCCTTTCCCGTGGTATAACTTAAACTCCTGAGTGGTGCTGTCTGCTTCGAGGTGGATGCCCTTCGCCATCAATTGACTGACACTCAGTAAGTTGTAACCGAGTCCTTCTGCTATCAAAACCTTTGACATCTGCAGTATGACGTTTGTCTCTCGTAACTGAAGTTGCACTACGCCTTGTCGTCGTGTGCGCAGGTTTTGATTGTTGGCGACGGTGATGACAACCTTGCGTTGAAGTTGGTGTTCACGTTGAACAAAACGTCCTGAAGAACACATATGCTGTCCACAGCAGCTGTCCAAGAACCACGTATCTTTTCTGGACGGCTCGCTTTGAGCGATGGCTGCATACGTCGGATTTGGTTGAAGTGGCTCGCGGCGAGGCGTGCTGTTGTCGAGTTGCTCTTCCGGTGAGTAATGTGTTGGTGACTCCGTGATGCAGGAGTCGGTCAGTCGTGTCATGCAACTGACGATGTTTCTTGTTCCTTGCGCAGGTTGTCCCGTCGATGTCGTTGAGGCTTGTACTTGAGAAGTCGGGTTCGCTTGCGTTGAGGCGACTTGACTGCTTGAAGGGCGAAGCGACCGGTTTGGGCACTGTGTACGGGGGTGACGTCTTGCTAAGATGACAGAACGGAGGTACTGATTTCGGTTGATGCCGATTGTTGTTGTTGTAGCGTCGTTGAGTGTGGAATGCAAATTCGGGCACTGATGCCTTCTTCTTGTGTCGTTCCTCTTGCAGGTCCATATCTTGCTGCTCAGCGTGGATTTCGGCGCAGAGTGCTGCTTCTGATATCTTTCCATGCGCTCGGAGTATGGTGCGGGTGGAGCGCCACTGAGGACCGAGGCCGCCAATGATGACTGTGACGAAGGCGTCTTCTGAAATCGACCCTCCGCATCGAAGGAGCTTGTCGCGCAATTCGCGACAACGGCTGATATACGCCATCCCCTTTTCGCCTGGTTTCATTTCAACTGTCGTCAGTTGCGCCATTAACCGACTTTGATTTACGCTGTCTGTTGCTTGATACAGGTTCTTCAGGTTGTTGTACGCGAGCTCTGCAGAGTTGCCGTATCCCCGGTAAGACCGTATATTCTGCTGCTGATTCGGAGTGATGTTTCTCAGTAGGATTGTGTACGCCATCATTGACTGATACGTGTATTGCTGCTTGTCGTACTGTGTGCCGTGTGTTGGATATGGCAGAGACCCGTCGAAGAAGCCAAGGTAAAGAACTCCATCATCATGAGCTCGAACTCGAATGACCAGGTAAAGAAGTCCTTTCCGTCGAAAGGTCTTGTCGTTTGCAGTTTTAAAACATGCGCGAACTGCGACTGAACTTGAAGTGCGTCCAGTGTCTTCTCTTGTCCAGATGCGGGCTGCGGGTGTGGCATAAAGCTGACGGAGCCACGCTGGGGCTCGTACGGAGCAAAGGTAGGCCGTTGCTGTTGATTTCCACGTGCGTACGATGAACCATCTAGGCTCATTGGTGTTGCGTTGTTGTTGTTGCTGTTGTTTGACTGTGCAGGTGCCCCTTGCTGGTGTTGTTCGTAGAAGGACATGAAGGAGAAGAACTTCTCCATCATGTCTGGATCGAAGGCCTTGCGGGAGTTTCCGAAGACGATGCCCTTGGTCTTGTTGCCGTACCCTCCTTTGTCTGTAGGCCAGAGGCAGGAGGTGGAGTAGGAGTGGTACCGGGAGAGCCGTTAGAGGAGCTTCTCTCCTTCTGCGTTGCCATGTCTTGTGATGTTGTAGATATCTTGATCGTAGTCGAATTTGTCCTGATCGCTCTCATACCATGTTGGGCTGAAAAAGGCCCTTAGGATCTTTGCAGGACAAAATTCAAGAGTAGGATGATGTAGTAGCGGAAGCGTTTAATAAAAGGATTGTGAACCACCTTGCGCTGGTATGTGAGGGCAAAGTTGATTGATTAAAGTAAAGAGATACAAACTTTTATAAGGATACAAGGATACAGGGAATATAAAAAGATACGGTTAATAACTGTTTTACTGTTGCTGTTGCGGTTCGATACAGTGTCGACTCGGGCAACTGCTCAGTATCGAGACAGTTGTTTGTCCTTGCTGTCGCACTGTACTTGTCAGGTCAAAGGTCGCTGACCTTTGACTTTCGCGTAACCTCCAGCGGTTGTTCAACCTCCGAGGGTTGACTCGCTTGATGCTTCGATGTGAGCTGCTTCGCTTTTGTCTTGGTGTTTCGACACGACAGAGTCGCTTTAAACTAATTGTTTCCAACAAAAACGTGAGGCATTTGTGCTGTTGTATAGGGACTCCGAGGGGTGTTTGGTGTCGACTCGAATGCTCCGTCATCTGAACGGTGCGTTCAGTTTGGGCCTCCGGATTGTAGTTGAATGCCCCATTTATGCACGTCGGGGCTATTCATGCCCTCCAGTTATTTTTTTACAGGATTTAATTCGTTATTAAAGACTTCAACCTCCTCAGGCATCGTAAAAATTACATCTCTTAAATCTTAGTGTATACTTCAAAGCCTTGCGTGAAGTGCAGAGCTTGGCTTATATCCAGGAAACACGAAATATCGAATTCTGGCGGAAAAGCAACCTGCACAACAGAGCTGGTACTTTCTGACAAGTCTTCTGATTGGTCGTGTGGTGTCAGTTGCCCGAATCAGACTGCGAGACGCAATGGCAACAGTGTGTTGATTGGTGCAGTTGTTCTGACGGAGCACTACTTGTGATTTTTGCTTCAGAGGGACGAGGTACCTCTAGCGATTTTGCAGGATCGATCGTGCAAATTCGATCCTTCACCGCTCTCAAATCCCGTTTCTCACATCTAAAGCATTCAGAGCCGTTTTCAAGCCCTGGTAAAAATCGAATTCTCTCCCTCCGAATCGAGGTTCACCTCATCCCCACCATGCTATCGGATGTATGTAGGGGCTCGCTAGTGGAAACCAAAGTAACGAAGCGCCCACAACGTCATTGAAGCAATTTGCCGGCTCCGATACAGGCTCGGCTTGATTGCTGTTGGTGCCGTCCCCTTTACTTACCTGGTGCGGCACTGCCGTCCCGTGTCACGAGTCGCACGACTTGCGCTTCTGACAGCACAGGTAGTGAAGACGCTCGGATAGAGTCTCGTCTTGTTTGCCTTTGGTGCCGCCCCCTTCACTTACCTGTCACGGTTGAACGATGTCCCAGATGGGAATCTCTAGCTGGGTACAGCCGTTTCGGAGGTTTCAAGGTGACAACCCTGTTTGGTTGAGAGCCTACAAAACCAGGCCCGGTGACTGATATATCAATCAGCAGCCAATTTTTCGCTTCACATGATCTGTTGGCTCTGGGAGGATAATCAGTAAAGGATAATAGGTATAATCAGTTGGGAGGATTTTGACACTTGCGTAGCTCGATTCGGGTTCGTACGCGCCTTCTTTCTCCTTCGTGATCGTGAAGGATTCGGACAACGCATGGAGCGATGTGCCTATTCGATAAGTTCGCCGCTGCCAGTGCAGACCTGCGGCTCTTTCAATGAGCCTGTCGTCAACCCGCTTCGCATAGGATCTACAAACCGCAGCGGGAAAAGATGTTGGAGCATTCTTTCGGGGAACTTTCGCTCCTTGTGGGAGTCAACTCAATGGCGCTCGAAGCGTGTCAAAGGCGACGACTTGTCGCCGGCGCCGGTTGCGGGAATTCGCTCGTTTGTAGCAATCGGAGTTATCCTTGCTATAGTGTTCGTCGCTTCGTTAACAGCCATCGGGAGGGTCGTTCAGCTTCCGCTCCCGCAGAACATGCAGGCTTCGCGGAACCTTCTCTCGTCGTCTGGTGACGTCACAGTAGCGATCCTTCGCACCGACTGGAAAGATAATGCGGAGGGTATCGGCGCCGTGAAAGGCGCCGTCGATGGCGGAAGCGAAATTCACGGGCTGGATGGCGTAGCTAGCTGGCGAGGCGCGTTTTCCGGGGAGGTTGTGACGGTGGAAGAGGTTCGAGAAGCCCCGCGGAAAACAAAACGGGGGAGATTAAACCAGAAAAAAAAAAAAAAAAAATCGAAGGTGGGGAAAAAGCGCGGGAGGAAAGCGACGAAAAAGGGCCGCATAGGTGATCAGGGTAACAAAAAGGCGAAACAGCTGATCGTTGAGATGGCGGAGGCGAAACAACCGCTCGTTGAGATGGCGGAGGCGAAACAACCGCTCGTTGAGATGGCGGAAGCGGGGAAGGGGAAAAGGTGGACAGGTGGAGTTACGGGGAGTGAGGGACAGGCGGATGCGACTGTCGAAGCGGATGTTGCGCGGGGAAGAGAAGCAAAGGGAAGAGGCGAGACAGGGGCGGCATCTGCGGGTGGAGTTAGCGCCGCTGCTGTGATCGTTGTGGCTCAGGTACTACGTCTGTCACTCATTCGCACCTTGAGACATCTTAGAGTCGAGCTTTGTAGACATCTTTCAAAAGATGCTGTGGCCGGTACCACTCTGCGAGACCATTATCGCACGCTTATGTCCGTACCCCCGCTTCCCCGGCCCCCCCCCTGCCTCTTCTTCAGGGCAACCTAGGCGCACGCCTGCAGGCGCTTTGCCTTGCGCCCGCCGTCAGCGCGGTGTGGGGCGCGCGGAAACTGGGGGAAGCAGTCTCGGGGAAGGCGGACGGGGATAAGGCGGGGGAGGTGGCCGTTGTCTGGAGTGACTCAGCAATTGCGGATGCTGACGTGGACGGAAGTGCTGGTGCTGAATTTGCTGGCGGCCGTTCCAAGAAGCGACCCACTGGGGAGGGGTTCTTGGATTTATTCAGCGGGTTTCCCGGTGTAGATGCATTACGGTTAGACGAGAAGGATAAGGCTGCTTGGCCGAGTGTGACTGTAACGGGAGCAGCCTCTGCTGATTCTCTTTTAGAGTCACGGACATTGCTGCAAGTCTCACTGCCAGCTTGTGTAGAAGTGGTGTCTGAATCGGCCAATGAGAGCGCGAAAGTTGGCAGCAGCAACAGTAGCAGTGCGGAGGTGCCTGCATTGACTTTGTCACTGTGGGTCCCTACAGAACTAAGCCACGTGGCAAGCAGGGATTGGGTAAGCTTATATGAATCTTGGCTTGGACCATGTGTCTTGCTCTAACCTACCTTTCCACCCTGTTGCACTCCTCTTTACCCCGTTCTTTCCCCCTCTCTTTCTTTCCCCCACCCACCCCTTTTTCCCCAGCCCTTATTCCCTCACCATTCTCTGATCCAAAACCACTATCCTCCCCCGTCTCCCCCCTCCCCTCCGCGTCTTCCCCCAGACGCCCCCCGAGGCATGTTCCGCCCTCCTCCTCTTCCAGTCGTGCCTGGGCGCTCTGCAGCCCTCGCCACGTGTCAGCAGATTACTGGAGGAGGGAGCGCTGGGGGAAACGGGAGCAGCTGCTGGGAGGTCTGAGGGGGAGATAAAGGAGGGTGGGGGAGGACGGGTAAAGGGGGGATCTAGGGAGAGACTAGCTCGTAGCACGGCTGTGTATCTGGAAGCCAATCAGGTGATGCCAAGTGGCACGTGCGGAGGGTGCCCTGAGGACCCTCTACTCAACTGCACGCTTCGCACGCTGACGTGGCGCTACCTGCGCGTGCCGTCCAACTCGTCTGACGTGGACTTCACTGTAGCAGCTGCCTCTGCTACAGACGCTGCTACAGTCGCAGGCACCTTCCATCCCCTGCGCGCCCCCCTCCTCCTCCCCCACACTGCTGTCAGAGCGGCCATGGGTTGCCCCTTGAGAATACCTCCCTCCTCCTCCCCCCACCTTTCGTCCTCCTCACCCTCGTCTCCCAGCACCACCTCTGCCTCCTCCGATGCCTCATTCCCACCATCGCCATTGTCGTCAACATCGTCCCGGCGATTGTTGGCGCTGAAGGGAGGGGAGAAGGAGCAGGGAGAGCGGGAGAGGAAGCCTGGATCACCAGCTGACACCACTGCGAATGACAGTCCTGGGAGCAACAGCAGCGAGAACAGCAGCGGTAGTGGGACGAGCGGGGCGGAAGGGCACGAGTGGAGCTGTGGTCAGCTGGAGGTAGGCGTGGTTGCATGTCTGCATACCTGTATGGATGCATGCATACAGATGCATGTACGGATGCGTCCCAGCCTTCCTCGTACCGGCTCTTTCCATCCCACCATCCCAGCTTTCCATCTCACCGCCCTCTCTCCTTGACTTTTCTCACCTTTTTCCCTCTGCACCCCATCCCTCAATCTCCTTCCATCCACACCACCAGCTGGCGGAGCTGCTGCTGCTGACCAGGGCTCGTGGGCTCATCCACTCGCGGCCCTCCATAGAGGCACTTTTCATTGCTGCCCAGGGAAGACGGCACCGGGCGAGCCACAGCAGCAGTGCGGGGGGAGATGTAGAAGCCTCTGTAGAGGCAGCTGCAGCCCTTGTGACTGTAGACCCCTCGGCAGCAGCGTTTGTGGTGGAGGAGAGTGTGTGTGCTGCCCCACGTGCCGCCGGGTTTGTCAACCAGAAGTTCCTGCAGCAGATGCTCGTCGATGGTGAGCCGCCACCTTGTGCTCTACTGCTGTTTTTGTTGTTTGTGTTCACACACGGCTGTAGGCATGCATTCCTCTATCTGCGCGTGTACCCTCTGGCGAGTGCATAGGTCTGTTGACCAGAAGTACCTACAGGCTACAGCAGCTGCTTGTGCTCCGGCAGATCTTTCTTGTGCTACTCTGGACCATGTGTTTCGGATTTTTTTTCTTTTCTTACAAGAAGCTCCATGTGTTTCCACGCATATGCTCCCACGATAGTGCATCCGTCTGTCAATCAAAAGTGCTCCCATGAGAGTGCACCGGCTTTTGTTCCCAAGGCCACCTTTTAATTCGAATCAGAAGCTCAATGAATCAGACATCCCCACCCATCTCGTTACCCTTCCTCACCCCCTCGCTCTCCTCACTCCCATCCTCCCCATCTCCCCCCGCACCACCAGAGGAGCTCAAGGCAGTGTACTGCTCGGTGCCAAAGGTGGCCTGCACGAGCTGGAAGGTGTGGTTCCGGGAGCAGCTGTCCAAGCGGCTCGGCGGTAACAACTCGCCTCGCGTGAAGCTCTTCGCACGCACCTCCGTGCACAGCCCACTGCAGAGCGGGCTGAGCATCATGGGGTACGGGTTTGAGGAGCACGAGAACATTCGGTTTCTCACGCGGCCCGACTTTTTCAAGTTCTCGTTTGTGCGTAACCCGTTCACACGGATTGCGTCGGCGTATCTGAACAAGCATGTGAATGGGGTGGGCTTGCACGGCCGCCAGTATTGGAACGAGGTGAGGGTGGTGGACAAGGTGGGCTTCTTTCTCCTTCCATTCTCTTCCCCACTGTTCATGTCAACTCCACTCTGCATTCCGTTCAACCCCGACATTCCCCTCCCCTGCCTCTCTCCCTCGCTGCAGCGCTTCTTTATGGGAATCCCGGCGTACAAGACGCTCATGAAGAGCCAGAACGGCAGCGACTTCATCCCCTTCTCAACATTCATGTCATTCCTCCAGCAACGAGCCACACGCTGCGTCGAGTGCATGGACCCCCATGTTCGCCCCCAGGTATTTTCCCCCACCCTTTCCCACCCTTCCCCTCTCTTGCCTCCCTTTTTCTGAACTCCCTCCACAAACCCCATCTTTCTCCCAGTGCAGTTTGAATTTCTGATCTAATCATTTCCCAATGTGGTTATTGTTGGTGCTCTGATTGGCTGCGAGCCCTTCACTCCCCATGCTCCCCCGTTTGTCTGCAATGCTCAGATTGACCTGTGCAAGTTGGATGCGATCCGATATGATTTTATCGGGCGGTTTGAGAGTCTAGAGGAGGATGTGGCGAAGGTGATGCGGCAGTTTGGAAAGGAGGAGAAGAATCCCTTTCATGATGCCCATCGGGCCCACCCAACTAATGCTTCAGCTAGGCTTCTTGAGCTGTATGACCAGGTGAGAATGAAAACAAAGTGCAAATTGTGTCATTGAAGTTGCATTTCAAGACCCAACATGCAATGTTCCTGTTTTGTCTTGTGCAGAGCGCATTTGAGGCTGCTACGGTTGCATACAAGTCGGATCTCAGTGTTTCCCTTAACAGTCTAGAATATGGACCGCCACAAGCACTAGTGGATAAGTTTGAGTCTAAGAGCTAAAGAACTAAGGGCATGTTTTTTACGCTCTTATCAGGCAAACCTCCTGTCTAATCCGCGAAGGCTGTAGAGTTTAGGGAAATTTGAGTGTGTTTTGACGCGAGCTTGATTAGAGGTTGGCCTGATAAGGGGCCGTAGGAACATGCCCTAAGATTGTGTAAAATGCATTGGAGGCAAGAATACAATATGATGCTGAAGAGGCCGAGGATGGAGAAAATGGAGGAGTGTAATCAGCGTACTGTACATGGACTTACCTCAGTTCATTCGGCGATCGCAAACCTCGTCGCCGCGAAATGCCGTGGCAGATGCGGCTCTTAGAGAAAGGCGTGGCGGCATAGTTGACATGGCGCGCATTTATGAAGCCCACGTTCAGATCGTTTTTTTGTTACAATTATACACTATATAAATGTACAAAGCATTGACGTCCACATCGTGATAGCATCAATTTTAGCTGGTGTGCGTGGACTCCTTTAGCCAACAATGTATAGTCAATGATGAATTTGTGAAATCCCGTGTTCTTGTTTGCGTGCTGTGCAATATCGGGTGGAACATATAAACAGTATGTAAGGGCGTGGCCAGCGCGTACATTTACAGTTCGTTTACAGTTCATCAGTCGCGCTGCAAGTTCATATCAAACGACGCACAACGGTTCTTGAATTCACGTTTTCAACCGTGACGCAACACGGATAACCGCACAGAACCTTGATGGCACGCTGTGAAGAAATATGAACGCTGCCATGACCTGTTGGTCCGGACGAATGCATTCGTGAACCTGTGCGATTCGTGAACCTGTGCGATTTAGGTGTCTGGGAACCTCGGGATTGGCTGATCAGACCGATATTTTCTGCTCCGGACGAATGCATTCGTGAACCTGTGCGAACCGTCCATTCCGTTCTCATCCACGGATCACAGCTCTCATCTGCAGAAGACGCATTTCTGACAGTGATGCACCCACACTACAGCCTTGAATTCTGTCATTCCGAGCCGAGCTGATCAATCCAGACAGTACTGTAGATTCCACCAAACCAAACCAGCAAACAGAAGCAGCAATTCTGTGTTGTGTTGTGGGACGGGATTCCTGCAGCAACCACTGAAAGTGATTAGCATTGTGCTGGACATCACACAACTCCCATCCAAGTCCATGATGAGCTCTTCGCCATGGCTCCCGTCAGAACTAACATCTAAGGCAATGTCTTGCTTATCTGTATCAGTTTCAGATTCTGAACACATTTTTGGGAACTGCTCATCACGAGCTTCAGATCGACACCATTATTGTGTTCACACAGCGAACATTTGGTCGTCGACGCTGCTCTTTCAGTATCCTTTTTTTGAGTTCTATAACTGCATACAACGCTTAAGACACCCAAGATGGCATCAGGGAATAAAGACACGCGAAGATAATCGTTCTAAGCATCTGTACAAGAAGTCAAATCAACGAAGCGTATTCAGATTATCGGCCTTCTCTTTCATGCAGCGTCAATCAAAAGCAGAGACTGACAAGCGGAATCAATCTACGTTCTTCCTGCAAAGAGCTTCTGGTTGTGTTGCTCTAAATTCGTCACGGCAGGGAATATTGAAGCATAACTCCAGATTTGAGTCAGGAGATGGATCAAAAGCAGCAGAGAACCTCGCATTGGAGGATTGTGAAGAATTACTTGGTTTTTCCATGGCTCCCGGATTAACTGAAGGAGAATTTTTCCCTGCTACTACCCTGGATTACCAGAAGGCAGCAATGATTACCGTCGAAGACACCGAATATATTAAGGAAACATACGTGATGGACTCTACCGTTGAAAAGCGTCAAGAAGTTTTCATGCAACTCGATGAGATTAATCTATGGTGTCATGACCGGGTCACGCGCGAGCAAGCTTTGGTCACTACACAGAGGTTCAGAGCACGCACACCAGCAGCAGCACCACGCATGATCGGATGTATCACTGCTACGCCAACCGAACAACTTCGGTGTGGACATCAGATCTCGGCTGCGGCTGAAACCGCTCTCCACCCCTCTCAGTTGTTCAGTTGGAAATGGCGTCACTGAGAAAGAGGTAGTAATGCTGAACAATGCTGGTTCATTCCGTGCTGGGGGGGGCGTTTAGGTGGTGAATCACTCACGTTCGTATGTGTGCTGCAGGCATTACTACCATCGAGGAGTTTGTTGGCTGGAAGTTCCGTCTGTTCGTCTCTCAACCAACCCTCTGACTTATGTTATCAGCTGGATTCATTTCGACCGTTGATTCTACCAGAGGACTTCTCCACGGCAATTTGACGCATTCCACAATGCATCGTCAACGCATTTTCACATTGCTATTGGATAGAATGAGATCTTTGGTGATTCGCGAAGATCTCTTATCCGAGACGTTGACCTTAGCAATTTTGGCTTCGAATTCGACTAACCCACCAGGATGTCTCCGACATGGATAAGCCGAACTGCAATGCTTGCTCCGCCTTTTTTCACTGGCATATCAACGGGATTCACACTGCTAGCTCTGCAGCAGTCAATGTCTACCAACTTGAATTTTCAATCTTTTACGGAAGACCAGCAGCAGACAGAATATGTCGATTCGCACCAAATGCTCAAGAATTCCGTCGACAAGAGTTCGGTTTCGTTTGAAGAGCGGTTACCGATTCGTTATAATACGTCAGCGGGAATTGTGGAAGGAAAATTGAACGTCCATCCCACGACGATCTAGGATGGGTGAAGACAGTTGATGAGTACTATGTAAGTTAAGCCACATATTGTATTTGCTTGTTATCATTCTTGTTACTCACGATGATTCTGTGTACCTCTTCGCCAGCTTGACCAAGTACAATGCATCATCGAGACCGTCGTTGATCAGCTCGCAGATAATCCTGACCGTAAATATACAAGTCAAACAGGTGAGCTGTCGCGTCTTTGCCCTGATTCGCCGTGAAACGGGACATGCATTAACGCGTATGTTGCATTCATCTTATGGCAGGGGTTCTTCTTCTTATGGTGGCAGCAGCAGGGAGAGACGATGAGAAATAGAGTCAGGAAACTTGTCGCTTCTGGTCAACTTGAGTTCATGTGAGTCCACAAGCTGTCCAAGGCATGAATCTGGTTTTGCTGAAGTTTCATGTCTCCTCAAACGCGACTCTTCATCATGCTTATGCAAGTCAACACATCTAAGAACCTGGCCTGCGAACTTACACACCTGAATCTTGTTGTCACATGCAAATCCGGCCTCACTTGCACGTGGATTCTTCAGGCATGTAAGACAGAAGGCAAGAGTTTGCGACACCACCTAAGCACGTCAATGCGTTAAGCACACTTGCGGCCCTTTTCAATCCTTTCCTGCACGGTCTCACACAGACTCGCATTTGCCGCCTGGAATAAGCTCTCATGGTCTCTCATGGCCTCATACCCTTGCCTGCTCAATTCCATGCCGTTCGGTGTGCTGTGCAGCAAAGGAGGGTGGGTGATGCATGACGAGGCGGTGTGCCATTACACAGACATGGTGCACCAGATGTCCATGGGCCATCGCTTCATCCAGGAGAAATTCAACATTACTCCGCGCGTTGCATGGCAGATTGACCCCTTCGGCCACTCCGCCACCCAGGCTAGCCTTATCACCTCACAGGTGAGTAAGTTTTTCACCTTTGATTGTTACCTTTCCTCTTTATTATATCCTCGTTAGCAGCAGCTCTGTTTGTAGCAACATTTGTGTCCAGCCTCTCGTCCCGGTCGGAGCTGTTATTATCTGTAACCTATTCTGGTCCACAGATAACTCGTCATGCCTTATGCAATCCTGTCCTGTCCATTCTCGTCGCGTCTACCCCTGTGTCACGGCCAGGGTGGTTTGGACGCCTTTATCTTTTGCCGAGCGGACTATGAAGACATGGAGAAGCGCAAAGCAGAGCAGAAAATGGAGTTTGTGTGGCGGGCGAGCACAGGGGCGCCCAGGGATACGCAGGTGTTCACTGAGATTCTGTACGATGGGTATTACTCGCCACAGGAGTTCCGTTACCAGCAGACAAGGTGAGTCCACAAGGCCACGGTGAGTCAGCAAGACCACGGTGAGCCAGCACATACCGGATTGATTCCATGCTGGTCAGCTGAATGTCAAACGAGTCACGCACACCAAGAACGTTGCATTAAGGGGTAGTCACACATCTTCGCCATCCTTCCATTGTCACCCCCTTCCCCGTCTCCCCTCTTCCTCTGTCCCTCGCTCCCTCTTCGCTCTCCCTCTCCCCCTCCCTCCGCCTCTGTGCTCAGGCACGAGCGTTCCGCACAAACCATCTGCTGTTCCCCATGGGCGAGGACTTCTCGTTCAACGAGGCCATCATGTGGTTCAAGAACATGGACAAGCTCATTCACTACGTCAACCTGGTCAGTTGGTATGGCATGGTGTGGTGCGGTGCGATATGGTAGAGCTTGATGGGGTTCAAGAACATGGACAATCTCATCCGCTACGTCAACCTAGTCAGTTGGTATGGCATGGTGTGGTGCGGTGCGAT